GCAACACATTGGCGCGACTGCGGCGGTAATCATATTTGGCTGAATTATCTCTTACTGTTTCTCTATAATCTTTTGTGCTGTTTTTCTCAATTGTCGAAATTGATGAAAATTTATTTTCGCGGCGAAAAAGTAGAATTGGCCGGATTTACCCCCGAACAAGGAACGTTTTTTATGCTATTTCTGATCTCATCGCTGCGACTCTTATCCCCTTTATTCGTCAATAAATTTAATCAGACGAATGAAAAACTTATAATAGTATCATTAATGAAGGGTACCACCATGCAAAAATAAATCATAGCCAAAATTTGTTCGAACCATTTTTTATGGAACTCTATCGATCGATTTTTATTGGAGAACTCAAAATTGAGAATTCAGCGTGAATGCGAGACCGCAAGATCACAAATGATGGCCAGTCAATAAGCAGAATGGTGTAAGAGCAAAATTGGTCCAAGAGCAGAAAAACAGAATAAGATCATTTTTTATAAGCTTATCACTAAATTAAAATTATTATTTGTCAATATTATCAAAAGGAACATATATGTTATGCATAATGTTTTTATATATAATATATATGACAGAAAAAATCGAGTTTATTGTCGGTTTAAGGGCGCGCTACGTGCGCGTCGCCGGTTCGCGACGATAACCGGCTCTAATTTTTGTAAAAAGTTCCACCCTCTGTTGGCAAGCTCGCAACACATTGGCGCGACTGCGGCGGTAATCATATTTGGCTGAATTATCTCTTACTGTTTCTCTATAATCTTTTGTGCTGTTTTTCTCAATTGTCGAAATTGATGAAAATTTATTTTCGCGGCGAAGTAGAATTGGCCGGATTTACCCCCGAACAAGGAACGTTTTTTATGCTATTTCTGATCTCATCGCTGCGACTCTTATCCCCTTTATTCGTCAATAAATTTAATCAGACGAATGAAAAACTTATAATAGTATCATTAATGAAGGGTACCACCATGCAAAAATAAATCATAGCCAAAATTTGTTCGAACCATTTTTTATGGAACTCTATCGATCGATTTTTATTGGAGAACTCAAAATTGAGAATTCAGCGTGAATGCGAGACCGCAAGATCACAAATGATGGCCAGTCAATAAGCAGAATGGTGTAAGAGCAAAATTGGTCCAAGAGCAGAAAAACAGAATAAGATCATTTTTTATAAGCTTATCACTAAATTAAAATTATTATTTGTCAATATTATCAAAAGGAACATATATGTTATGCATAATGTTTTTATATATATATATATATATATATATATATATATATATGACAGAAAAAATCGAGTTTATTGTCGGTTTAAGGGCGCGCTACGTGCGCGTCGCCGGTTCGCGACGATAACCGGCTCTAATTTTTGTAAAAAGTTCCACCCTCTGTTGGCAAGCTCGCAACACATTGGCGCGACTGCGGCGGTAATCATATTTGGCTGAATTATCTCTTACTGTTTCTCTATAATCTTTTGTGCTGTTTTTCTCAATTGTCGAAATTGATGAAAATTTATTTTCGCGGCGAAAAAGTAGAATTGGCCGGATTTACCCCCGAACAAGGAACGTTTTTTATGCTATTTCTGATCTCATCGCTGCGACTCTTATCCCCTTTATTCGTCAATAAATTTAATCAGACGAATGAAAAACTTATAATAGTATCATTAATGAAGGGTACCACCATGCAAAAATAAATCATAGCCAAAATTTGTTCGAACCATTTTTTATGGAACTCTATCGATCGATTTTTATTGGAGAACTCAAAATTGAGAATTCAGCGTGAATGCGAGACCGCAAGATCACAAATGATGGCCAGTCAATAAGCAGAATGGTATAAGAGCAAAATTGGTCCAAGAGCAGAAAAACAGAATAAGATCATTTTTTATAAGCTTATCACTAAATTAAAAGTATTATTTGTCAATATTATCAAAAGGAACATATATGTTATGCATAATGTTTTTATATATATATATATATATATATATATATATATATATATATATATATATGACAGAAAAAATCGAGTTTATTGTCGGTTTAAGGGCGCCAGTGGGCGCGCTACGTGTGCGTCGCCGGTTCGCGACGATAACCGGCTCTAATTTTTTTTAAAAGTTCCACCCTCTGTTGGCAAGCTCGCAACACATTGGCGCGACTGCGGCGGTAATCATATTTGGCTGAATTATCTCTTACTGTTTCTCTATAATCTTTTGTGCTGTTTTTCTCAATTGCTTCATACTCGTGCCCATACACTCACCCAAAGGTCCATTCACACGAAAATTTGGAAGAAGGTCCGTTCACCCACAAACTACCATCTTCTCGGCTTAAGGTCGGCGATTTACGCCAGTTGCCGCTCCGCGGTGAAAACCGGCTTTTATTTTCGTGTAGAGTCTTACCCGATGTTCATATAAAAAAGAATATATAATTCAAGGCCTCAAGGTGACAAAAATGCTTCTTTCGTTTTTTTTTTGGTATCTCCATGGTGAAATATATCATTTTTTCTGTTATTAAAACTGGTAAGACACTATGCGTTTGAGTTTCTCTGGGATACGTCCAAAAACATTGATTTATCCAAAGTTTTTTGTCACTCTTAGAAATCACCTTTTAAGTCTAGTTGTCTTTAAAAGCTTCAAAATGGTGCTATTGAATGAGGTAGTAAAAGTTTAGAGTCAAACTTTTTACTTGACTTATAGACAATTTGAAATTTTGGCGAAGAGATTAAGAAGTGCTTACGACTCAAACGCGCTGTCTGAAAGCACTAAGCAGAAACTTTTGAAAAACTGATCCGTTAATTTTTACTCATAGTTAGCCCTCGCCACTCGTCAGAACTGTACGCTCGAAGTCTCTCGCACACCAATAAAAAAATTTGTCAAAAATGGCTGGTTAAAAAGTCGAATTTTGCCTGGAGAAAAAGAACCACCCGACCACAATTATTCCGTCACTTTCTTCTAAAGTCGAAACAAAAAACTAAATTACCAAAACATTATTATATTTGAGCAACAATAATTTCTTCATTGAAAATCTATCACGTGAGCTTAGCCCAAATTTATAATCAAGGCAGCACTACTGATACAGTCATGTTATGTAAAATATGTGCAAAGTAGACACTCACAGACAACTCAAAGGAATATGCATGGAAGAGAAAAACGAAAACAAAAAACATTACTTTTTCAAACTTTTTATAGCAGCGTTTTCTCGAAAAAACCAGAAGGTTTGAGAAAGTAATGTTTTCAGCGTGACTTGACAACGTTATTTTGCAAGCTTGGCAGCAGTCAACCAAGTTTTAGACACCGAAAACTTATATAACTTCGAAACAAATAGAGCGAGTTCAAACTTACCCAGAATCATATGTTCCAAAAAGTGCGTTTTACTCGTAAAAGCACGCTGAGATTTAAAACAAGAATAGCCGGCAACTGTGCAAGTAGCACATATTGCTTCAACCATAGTCTAAAAATATATATTTTTTTCAAATCTGTCGTTTTTTTTCTGCGTGGTGTGATAAAAGGGGTGGACGAAAAACTGAAACTTAGGAATTTTCGACAGTCATTGTAAAATAGGCAAATTGGACAACACTTTTGTAGTAGAAAATTGACTTAGAATACAAAATAATATTTTTAAAAAATGCAATAAAATTTTGATATTTTTTCAGATTTTTTTTTTGAGTTTTTTGATGTTTTTAATTCTCAAATGGCGCTAAAAACAGTCGCAAAACAGCTTTATTTGGGTAAAACTAAGTTTTCACGGCCAAAATTAAGCAAAAATCAGCAATTGTAAGCTTGCTCGCTCGCATCATTTGCTAAAAATTTGACTATAAAAATCAAAAATTTCAAAACCTGTTTTTCCCAATACTGGATCATTTTTCATAAAATTTTAAATGTCGTTCGAATAACGAATGAAAGGGCTTCAATATGATATATATCTCGACTCATTCACATAATTTTTTAGTTCATAATTTTGCGCAGAAAACAGACAGGAAAAGAAAACAAGGCTAGCTGGTTGCTGTGCAAGTAGCACAGAATGTTCCGACCATATTCATTAAAAAAAAACTAGAAAAAAAAGGTTTCTTCTTTTGTTTTCTTCAAATTAGTGTCGTTTTATTGAGTATTGTGATTCGAGATATATACTAACTCGTTATAGCTTAGCGAGTTAGGCAAGATTGACAACATTTTTCCTCAAAAAATGAATAACAAACCAAAAATGAAAAAAACTTGGAAAATTTTTCTAATTTTTTTCTTTTTTGAACAATATTTTTGAAATCTTTATTGATAAATAAACGCTGAATGAAACATCCAAAAATATTGTTAGCCTAAAGCTATAATAAAATTGGTAAATTTCCTTGTAACGAAGGTTACTCGATAGCGTTGCTCGCTCGAAGATGAACTAAAAATCAAAATTTTCAAACCAGTTTTTTTCTCGTCACGGGGACTTTTTGATTTTGTTGGCAATGTTTTGGACAATACTGGACAATTTTTTGTTATCTTCTTGATGTCGTTTGAATCAAGACTGATAGGGATTGAATTTGGTATATCACTCGAAATTTTCCGGTGATTGTTTGTGGTACATGATTTTGCGTGGAAAACAAAAAAAAAGAAAAAAATTAAACCACCCCCGAATACAAAGTTCTTCCCCTTTTTCAATGGTCGGAACAAAAAAAAAAGCATAAATAAAATTTAAAACACCCGAATACAAAGTTCCTCCCAATTTTTCAAATGGTCGGAACAAAAAGTGCTTGAGTTTAATTAATTAAGCTTCTCCACCGAAGCGAGATAAATTACTTTGCTGGTCGTGAATACGTTTATTTTTGGCATCATAGCGTTGATATTTCTGTGATAGTCATTGTTAGTTCATTGATACTTCAGAAACGTTCGTGCTCACTATAATTACCATAAATTTATGAAGCAAGAATAGATCTGTGACTTATTGGCTTTCTTTCTAATTTAATGCATGTAAGTTTGCACAAAACAGAATTTGTATTGACCATTAAAGCATAACGTCTGACATTTTATTCAGAGCGAAAGGGCAATCAAAAGATGATACGACTTCTGCTGTTAATTGCGGTAATCAGCAGCTGTTGTGTATGTGATATCTCGGAGATACTCCCGGTTTGCGACGCCGTTGGAAGTGAGCCCGCCGATTTAACTACTCTGATTCAGTCTCTTGACGAGGGCATTGGACTGCACATTGAAAGCTCGTGTGTTTTTGTCAAAGAGACTGATCGGTCGAATTTTTCAGTCGAAGAGTTTCTGTACAAAGAAAAACTTCATTACGACGCTGGATTCTCTTCAAGTTCTGAAGCTAAAAAGTACGTTATAGTTCTGGATGGATCGAAAGGTTTTGTTGCCAGTTTGAAGAAAAGAGGATCGAATTGTGAAAAGAAAACGAGTGTCAGCCAATGGGACAACAAATCAGCCAGTTTGCTCAATGATACGATCTCCGAAGAATACGTCTCTCTGGCTTGGATCTTTCAAAATGCAGATCAACGAACTTGGACCCGAACAGTCTCAGAAAAGGAAAGAATGGTCAAGTTCGTCTCGTGTTCCTCGGGTGGCTATCCGAGTATTCAGTTCAACTTCCTGAGAATGAACGAGGACAATTCGGTTACTTTGGGATCCCTGTTAGAAGTGATGGTCGCATTTAGCTCCAATGAGTACTCTTTGTTCAGTGTGTACGAAATGGACTATATCTTCAAAAATGAATCTTCATTGGAACAACTTGAGCAAAACTTTGGACTTTTCCAACCCCCAACAGGAGAAACTTGCGACAATTATTTAAAGGAAGGTGTCAACGAAGAGACTTTACCGACAGTTAAGAAGTTTCCCGACGCTGTGTCGTTGTCGTCAGAAATTGTCGATTTCGGCGCCAAGAAAATCTCATACACTCGCGAAGTGTATAGTTTCGCCCAGAATTTATCCCGAATCGAGCTTCATTCTGGGGGTCGGGCCGCGAATTTTGTCTCTCCTCGGTTCAACGAGCCAACTGCAAAGAATCATCCAGTCACTATGATACATGACTTCAAATCAGGCTTGGTTTTTGTGATTGACATGCAAAGTGATTTCTGTGAAATTCTGTCAATGGAAGATTACTACCGAAATAACGATGATATTCCTCCAGATATGAATCCGGGCTGCACAAGCGAATCGAGCAATGAGGACCATTGCATGGACATGTACCATCCGTACGAAATACACTCCTTCAAAGACTACAAATACGCGGGGAAATGTGTTTCTCAAGGTCAAATTCCAGGATTTAAGTTCATTATGGATAAGAGACCACTTGTCCATGAAGCCTGTTTTGCAGACGGGACTTGGTCCATTGGATATGTACAAAAGAGTTCGAATTTTTTCGACCAGTATTCGCTGCCGTTTTACATTAAGACTTATAACATGTCTGCCAACCGAACCAGTCCTGATTTTGAGCCACATCTTTTGAAAGTTGTTCATTTTTATGATGTAGATTTTACGCCTCCCGACGCTTCTTATTTCGACATATCCAAATGCTTCGGGGCTCCAGACGAATCAAAGCATTATCTTGTGCAAACAACAGGGCGGACTCAGCGTTGTGAGGATGAAGATTGCGATATCGAAGCCGATAGTTCCGAGTCACCGCTTTTCTATAAGATTTCACTATTTACGTCTAAGTTGCGATCTTCTCTTGCGGAGAAATTAAATGTTGCTCCGATTCGTATTTTTGACCTGTTCGTGGAAGAACCTGAGAGTTCGCTAGAATGGGCGGACCACGATTTGATAGTCGGATTTGGACTTCTTGATATAGATTATCAATACTTGACTTCGGAAGCAAATCAACTTTCGTTCAAACAGGCCAGGGATCAGTACCGACCCTTGAAAAAAGTAGAAGAAGACATAGCGAATCTTCTAGCATCCGACGATGGGTTCAAAATAGTCTTTCATTGGAATGATTCATACTTTTTCAAAGACGAATCAGTGGAGGGCAAACCAACAATAACAAAGGAAGCTGTTTTCCAGGAAACAATAACGGTCACAACCATGAAAAAGATTGACCAACAGAGCTTCAATGAAATGAGTAAGGCCGCGGACGAGGTCTTGGAAACTGAGAATGCGGCGAACGCGGCTGCAGCCGAGGGAGGAATCGGGGCGGGTGCTGTTGTCGCAGTGGCGTTTCTGATGGCGATTCTCGGCGTCGCCATTGGCATCGCTGTCGGCTATAAGCTGTGGAAAAGTGGAACTTCCTTCGGCTACACAATTCATACTAACATCTAGTTCTAGCTATGGCTTCACACGGATCCAGTTGAATATCAAAATTACTTAGCGATTTTTTTTGCATAAATACAAACTGGAAAAATGGCGTTTTTAGATGCAAAAATGACTGAGTTTTCCATTGAACTTGAGTTTACTTAAATTTAGATAGGAGCTAATATTTGCCATAATTGCGATTCAAAATTTAATGGCGATTTTTATTTATATTGAGCAGAAGTTAGTCTTATTTCAACCATACTAACTATAAATCGATAGTTTTTTTTGTATTCTTATTGAATTGATACGCGGCAAAAGATGTAAGGTTGGGAAAAAAATTCAATTTCCAAAAAGAAAACTTCTCGATCTTTCTTTTTCCAGTTTCTTTATTACATTTTATGGATCTACTTAACAATCTCCCCCCCCCCCCCCTATTGTACCTACTAAAGAATCTCCCCCCTTTCAAGAAAAGGGGGGATTGTTAAGTAGATCCCATTTTTGTTGTTTGCTACCCACTCCATCCCTGAAAACATAAAGTGAAAGATTCCAGAATAGCTCATTGAAATTTAACGTAAGACAACTATCCCATTAGTGCTTTTGAATATATCATTTTAATAGATGTGCTTGATATATTTGTTAATCAAATGTACATGAGAGCTTTATTTGAATTTCTCATGCAAATAATAGCTATTTTACCTCCCTCTATCTGCGACTTGTAAAATTGTGACTTAAAATGTCCGATTATAATAAAAATGCTCAATCATTTGCTGTTTGAAAAGTAAAATCCCGATAATAGTAAAAAATGAGATGTCTTGCTTGTTGCATATCAAATCACTCTGCGAAATTTAAAGCATGCGCATTTTCCTTTTGTCTCTGTTTCCCTGCTTACTTTCCGCGATGGTGCTGGCATATGTTTCAACCACACAAATCATCTACCAACTGATTTTTTTTCCAGAAACATCAATGATTGAAAATAGTTTCACGAGAATTGGTCCAAATTAGTTTGGAAAATTGTTCTTCGCAGATCTGCGCTATAACCTTGTGTTAATTTCTACTTGCTGTATAAATTGCTTAAATATTTTTTTATTCGACTGTTTTAGCTAAATTTTTTGAGTTGTGGCTCCGAAGCCAAGAGTAGGTTATTGGGCGTGTTTTTCTTTGAAAATTTTCATCGTTCTTCTTAAGACAGTTTGAATTAACACTAAAACTTCAAAAGATAAAGCGAGATTGGACAGGTCAAGGTCAAATGTCTTGACAAAGTAGACCAGCCGTACAATCCCCCCACCCAATCGATTTATGGGGGAGAAAATATGGATTTTTCATGAGCTAACTTGGAGTATTGCCTAGATTCTTTCAAAATTAACCGTATTACTGAAAAAATTGAACTAAAATTTTAATCTGGGCCAAGGCTGTCATATTGTTAACTAAAACGTTTTTAACACGTTAACATGTTATCTAAATAAAAAGAACACATTAAAAATCGAGCTGTTTAAAGAGAAAAGCCAGCTCTCCAGCCTTCTCGACGGCCAAAGAACTTCGGAGTTTTTCATAGGTGAGTCCGAGAGTTGAGAAACACCGTTCCAATCCTGCATTGGATGAGATAGCATTGGCCTAGTCGAGTAATTTTTTCAATGAAATATGAAAAAGGACTGCATTCGAAATGGAAGCTCAAAATGTTAAAAACACTGTGTTAATAGCATGTTAAGTATAGGTCTTTTAATAACACCTTGTTAATAACATGACAACCCTAATCTAGGTAACTAACACCAACCAAATGCAATCCCGCATAAAAAATGTAAAAACAATTTTCTTTGCGCGTTTGTATAAAATGATTATATTATACATAGTTTTTTTTCAAAATTAATACATGCGTGGGGAGTGCATTCTATGGTAGGTCACTTGGGTGTGTGGGTGGTGGGTAGAGGTTGCTCGGTTGATCCGACTAAATTTTCAAAATTTATAGTGCTGGTTTAAATCCGGACAAAACGCACAAAGTTTCGAAATTTCAAAGGCTTTGTTTTCATATTGGGTTAAGATTCGACAAAACGTGAAGTGAACAAAATTAGCTCAGAATTTAAAGATAATAATATGGTGAAATTAATTTTCCAAAATTCACTGCTGAATTTTTCCCCAAAAACTGGTTATTTTGTTTTTCTTTAGTTAATCAAGAATTACGCTGAAACTACTGTTAATTGATGAGAAATTGATATCGAAAGAAACCTCTTCCACTGCACGGATTCCAAAAAATGTAATAAAAGAATAAATTTTTGGTTGATAGCCAATAGAGGTCATTTTTTATGGAAAAATTAAAATCTTTGCCTAAAAACTAATTTAAAACGTTTTGCCGCCATTTTTCGGGAAATTTTACTTGCCAAAACCTTTGTCGGACTGTGTAACAAGCTTTTTTGTTATAATTTTCTCGTGTAACTCGGTGGTTTCAGTGTAATTCTTGATTATCTAAAAAAAAGTAAATAGACCCAATTTTTGGGGGAAAATTTGGCTGCCTAATTCGAAAAAAAAACTGGCGAAACTCCAAGCAACTTTTGTTCTCTTTTTTTGTACGATCTTGACTCAATTTGAGCAATTTTTGTTCGTTGTGTCCGGTAAAATTAAATCAATACTTCACTTTATTTGACGCTTCCTTTTTTGTGTCAGTAAAGAGTGTTTTGCTGTCATAAGTTGCTTGAAAATTTTTTTTTAACCCACAACCGATTCAAGTTACTGAAACAACTTGAAATATAATAAGTGGCTAGACAATCTACCTAGCATTAATAATTGAAAGAATCATTTGACCTACTTTAGACGGATTTGCGTTTGAAGATGTTTCCAAAATTACATGCAAACCTTGCTCACTTAGATTATTCTGCATATCCGAATGATTTGGTTTTCGCTATATCTCAAACTTTTTGCGATGCAATCAAGCTTTGAAAAGAAACATGAAATTATTCAAGTCTGATCGCTTGATGCTTGCTCGAAAGAACATTTTGTTTATGACACTGAAAATATTGCAAGAGAAAATTCAATTTGTAGCACAGCATTTCAAGCTATCAAAACAATTTCTAATGATTTAGTTTAGATTACTTGATACTTTGCTTTAAAAAATTTTGTTTGCAGACCAGTTTGTGCTCAAACGGCTTAAAATTTTTCAAAACTTCTTCAGTTTAGAGGCATTTAGCCAAATGGTAGGGCGTTTACTTCGAATTCATCAGATCGTGTAATCGCGCCCCTGACCAATTATGACTGCAATAGTGGCACCATGTGAAAATTCTGTACGCAAAAACGGCCTTGAGTCGCAAAAAAAGAGATTCGCTCAACAAAATAACTCAGTATGGAATGTGAGGAAATAATAAAACGGACAATGCGTAGATAAGCTGGATAGCTTTTCATAGATCCTCTGCGCCTAGCAGAAACCACAATTATTATTAGTTTGCTTTAGAGATCTAGTTTTTAGAGAACCAATTCCAACTATCAAAACGGAGATGAAATTATGGTGAAGAAAAACCTAAGGAAAGACAAATACTGCATTTCTCTCTAAAAAAAGTTTGTTTACCTTGAAGCGGATAGCATGCACCAAAAATTTTTTTTCACAGTCTTAGCAAACTGATTGGCTGACGTTTCATCTTTCAGCCTACTCACAAATTTTAGTTCCTCTGAAGATGCCTGTCAGTGTAAAACTTGGTCAATGCGTTAAGTCATTCCAATTGTCTTTCCTGAGTCTGTTAATTTGCAAAAACTAAGAACAACATTTTTCTACTTGGTTCTGATTGTCGATCCTGAAAACGTTTTTTAAGTATCTGTACAGTTCAGCGAATTCAAAATTAAACAAAATAGTTCAAAAGCAAATAACTCCAAACAATTGGTTTTTCAGTTTTACCTTAAAATTAATAGACGAAGTTTGTATTTTTTGATTTTCTAACCTGAAGGATGGTTTTTTATAACAAAACCACTCAATATTTTTTTTACCGGTAAGTAAAAATTAAATAAATTTTACTTTAAGTATTGATTGCTTTTAACTAATTTGAAAACACTTACGCTCAACGGTTAAAATGTAAATAGAAAATATATGTTTTCTTTTTTTGTGTGTTAAGATTTTGAAAAACGGTAGAAATCCATATACCTTCATAATGTTCTGTATTCCACATTCGGAAATACACAAACGAAAAACATTAAGGAAAACACTCAAAGTTAACATCAAACTTTGTACCTACACTAGTTTAAATTAAGGCGCAAATTCCAGATTTTACTCTCTAAAAGGCTGGTTTTCCAGTTTTGGACAACAGTTCTTTCGAAGTGCAGTAAAATTTTTACATTGACTTGGAGGTTACATTTTTTTTTCAACATGATCAGAGCTACCCCTCATGACATTACGAGGACAAACTGTGCACTGGATAGGAACAAAATTTGGTGTCTGTAGATTTCTGCAATCCGAGAAACAAGTTTTGTCGGAGTTTTTGTCGGAACAATCAAAGAAAACGAAAGAACAAAGGAAGAACAAAAAGAGCGTCCACTGAATCGTTGATAATGTAAAAACTTATCGAAATTTGCTTATAGTTCACAAAAAAAACACAATGTTTGGGCTCGTTTTGGAAACTATCAATATTTGATTTCAGTTACCTAGCATTGTAATCCAGGCCTGAAACTGGCAGTTTTCCTCATCTGCATTAAGTTGTGCATCGTAATGAGTTTTTCTTGACTAAGCGGAAAAAAGTGCTTCATGTAAAATAATTAATGTAAAAATCAATGTAAAATAATTACCAAATTTGACTGTTTCTTTTTTTTAGTCGAAGTGAAAATTTTAGCGCAATTAAAAAAAAACTGGTTTTATCAGTCCCGGATTACATTGTTAAGTCATTGAAACTAAGTTTTGATAGTTTCACAGAGGGTAGCTTAGATATTTCGTTTTTGGTTTTTGTAAAAATTTCACTGAATTTCGTATAAAATCTTGTCCACAATGGACAACGAGAACAAGCATTTTAGAGACTATAATCCTAAAGTGCGCTCATTTTTGTCCACTAGTGGAGCAACAACAGATTCAGATCTCTCAATTGATTTGTTCAATTTGCTTTGATGCCAAATTTGAAAAACTTGTGCGTTATTTGAAGCACTAAAGCAACATTTTCATTAGGCAATCAAGCAAAACAATTTAGGAAGGAAAAGTTGCATTTTACAGTTAAAAATGCTTAATGTTTTTTCAATTGTTTCACATCTGTTTCATACAAAACAAGCAAACACTTATTTTGCATCGCGAAAATTGTTCCAATCTCGACACTGCGTATCTCAATTTCAGACTCCACCTCTGAAATTTTTAATTGTATACCCCGTTATTGCAACCGAAAAGGGGTAGGAGTTTTGTCCTCCTGTGTTCACAACGGGTAGGGACAATGTTCCTATACGTTGTGAACACAGGGGGATGAAATTGATCCTACCCGTTGCCAACACGGGGACAAAATTATCATTGTCGCTACCGTCTTCGAAAAAAAAAAATTGGAAAGACGTAGAATTAGTTCAATTGATTTGGAAATCGTTCATGAAGTTTATTTGACTGTAAAAAAAACCTATCTGGAAAACTCTGACCGTCGAAATTATTTTCTAGTAGCCTGTTCTCTATTTTTCACTTCTTTAGTGAAAAAGATATTAATTATGACGTAGCCATCAAATTTAGACCATATGGAGGTCTTATTGGCATAGAAGATTCTTCACTGGACAAATGCTTGAAAAAAATCAAAATATTACGACTGCATGCAATTTTACATAATGCCGCAGAATTTGTTTAACGAATTTTCCAACACTGGTCCCAATTACTGCTATATGCTACCCTGAATGTGTAATAAACAGTCTGATTAGTGATTTGAGTGGTATTATTTTCTGCCTACTCATCAAACTAACCAGACCAGAACTCTATCAATTATTAGAATGTTGAGTGAACGATCAGTCGTGCTTGATTGGGAAGGATTTCGTAATAGAAAAATTTCTTTTATAGGTAAAGAAGTAGCCATCGCACTTTCTGATTATAGGGACTGTCTAAATTTTCAATCTCTAGTCCTTTTCAACTCACTTCCAAGACCTGAACAAAAAGCGTACATTTGCTTAACAA